AGAAATTGAAGAAGATGTCAGAAAATAGAAAGATCGCCCATGCTCATGGATAAGCAGGACTAACATAGTAAAAATGGCAAATTTTACCAAAAGCAATCTACAGAGTCAATGCAATTCCCATCAAAATACCAACACAATTCTTCACAGACCTGGAAAGAATAATACTCAACTTCATATGGAAAAACAAAAAACCCAGGATAGCCAAAAGAATCCTGTACAATAACACAACCTCTGGAGGCATCACGATCCCTGACTTCAAGCTCTACTATAGAGCTACAGTAATAAAAACAGCTTGGTACTGGCATAAAAACCGACATGTGGACCAATGGAATTGAATAGAAGACCCTGACATTAATCCACACACCTATGAACATGTAATTTTTGACAGAGAACTCAAAAGTGTACAATGGAAAAAAGAAAGCACCATCAACAAATGGTGCTGGCATAACCGGATGTCAACATGTAGAAGGCTGCAAATAGATCCATATCTATCACCGTGCACAAAATGTAAGTCCAAGTGGATCAAGGACCTCAACATAAATCCAGCTACTCTGAACCTGCTAGAAGACAAAATAGGAAGTAGTCTTGAACGCATTGGCATAGGAGTTCACTTCCTAAATAGAACACCAGTAGCACAGACACTGAGAGAAACAATCAATCACTGGAACCTCTTGAAACTGAGAAGCTTTTGTAGAGCAAAGGATACGGTCAACAAGGCAAAACAACAGCCTACAGAATGGGAAAAGGTTTTCACTAACCCCACATCTGACAGAGGCCTGATATCTAGAATATATAAGGAACTCAAGAAATTAGACTTCAAAAAGCCCAACAGTCCAATTAAGGAATGGGCTATAGAACTAAACAGAGAATTAATTCTCAACAGAGGAAACTAAAATGGCTGAAAGACATTTAAGGAATTGCTCAACATCCCTAATTATCAGGGAAATGCAAATCAAAATGACTCTGAGATACCACTTTACACCCGTCAGAATGGCTAAGATCAAAAACACTGAAGACACCTTATGCTGGAGAGGATGTGGAGCAAGGGAAACTCTCCTCCACTGCTGGTGGGAATGCAAGCTTGTACAACCACTTTGGAAATCAATATGGTGCTTTCTTAGAAAATTGGGAATAAATCTCCCCCAAGACCCAGCTATACCACTCTTAGGCATATACCCAAGGAATGCTCAATCATACCACAAGGGCACTTGCTCAGCTATGTTCACATCAGCATTGTTTGTAATAGCCAGAACCTGGAAACAACCTAGATGCCCTTCAACTGAAGAATGGATAAATAAAATGTGGTACATATACAAAATGGAATACTACTCAGCAGAGAAAAACAATGACATCATGAGGTTTGCAGACAAATGGATGGATCTAGAAAAAATCATCCTGAGTGAGGTAACCCAGACTCAGAAAGACAAACATGGTATGTACTCATTCATAGGAGGATACTAGATGTGGAACAAGGATGACTGGACTGCTACTCACATCACCAGAGAGGCTACCTGGAAAACAGGACCCCAAGAAAGACATGGGGATCACCCAATGATGGAGAAATGGATGAGATCTACATGAACAATCTGGACATGAGTGGGGGTAATGAAGGGTGAGGGTCAAGGAAAGGAGAGCTTGGGGGAGCGGGAGATCCCAGCTGGATCAAGAACAGAGAGGGAGAACAAGGAATAGGAGACCATGGTAAATGAAGACCACATGAGAATAGGAAGAAGCAAAGTGCTAGAGAGGCCCACAGAAATCCACAAAGATACTCCCACAATTGACTGCTGGCAATGATCGAGGGACAGCCCAAACTGACCTGCTCTGGTGATGGGATAGCCAAACACCCTAATTGTCGTGCTGGAAACCCCATCCAATGACTGAGGGAACTGGTTGCAGAGATCCACAGCTAGGCCTCAGGTGGAGCTCCAGGAGTCCAATAGCGAGAAAGAGGAGGGTTTATATGAGTAACAATTGTTGAGATCAAGGTTGGATAAAGCACAGGGACAAATAGCAAACAAATGGAAACACATGAACTATGAACCAATGGCTGAGGGGCCCCCAGTTGGATCAGGCCCTCTGAATGGATGAGATAGTCAATTGACTTGATCTGTTTGGGAGGCATCCAGGCAGTGGGACCGAGTCCTGTGCTCATTGCACAAGTTGGCTGTTTGAAACCTGGGGCTTGTACAGGGTCGTTTGGCTCGGCGTGGGAGGAGGGGACTGGACCTGCCTTGACTGAGTCTACCAGGTTGATCTCAGTCCTCAGGGGAGGCTTTGCCCTGGAGGAGGTGGGAATAGGGGGTAGGCTGGGAGGAAGGGGAGGGTGGCGGGAGGGGGGGAGAACAAAGGAATCTGTGGCTGATATGTAGAACAGAATTGTATTGTAAAATAAAATTAAATTAAATTTTTAAAAAAAGAAATGCTGAAGGGGACTCCAGATAATGAGGATGGGACTGAAGACCCAACACACACACACACACAGAAAACTCTCGGGAAAGTCTTACAAACAGAATGAATGAAGCAGAAGATAGAAATTAAGTCTTGAAGATAAAATAAAAGACCTAGTCCAAATAAGACAAAACAGGAAAAACTAAAAACAAAAACTGCACACAGGGAAGGAACACATAGGAAATATGGGACACAAAGGAGAAACTAAGCCTTCAAATTACAGGTCTAAGTGAGGGAGAAGATTCTCAAATTAATGGCATAGACTGTGTCTTTAACAAAATCACAGGGAAAAAAACTTCTACAAACTAAGAATGTCACATCCATACAGATAAGAGAAGTACAGAACACCAATTGGACAAAACCAGAAAAGACAATCCACGACATATTATAATTAAAGCACTAAGTTACAGAACCAAGAAAGTGATTTCAGACATGCAAGAAAAGAAATTCAGGTAACGTATAAAGGAAAATCCATCAGAAAAAGAGCTAATTTATCTATAGAAACTATGTAAGCCAGAAGAGTTTGGAGCGATATATTCCAAGGTCTAAAGGACTGTAATAGTGAAATGAGAGTCATACACTCAACAAAACTATGTACAATGATTGTATTTTTCATGATGAAAACAGCACAAAAATCATAACCAAGAAACCAAACATAAGGAAATACAGGAAACATTGTTTTGGGCTTGGTACAGAAATGAGACAGCATAGAGACTGTGGTAGAAGCCATAATTATTAAAATACAAAATAAACTGAACCCAAATGACACCAAAAATCAACAACTGACCACAATTAACACACATATTTCAAAAGAAATTTTAAATATCAGTAGAATCAGTTCATCTGTCTGTCAATCTCTCCCTCTCCTCTTGCCCTTCACTCTCCTCTTCTCTTTCAATCTCACTCTCTCTGTTCTCTTTTCTTCCATTCTCCCTCTCCCTCCTTCAGTGGTTATTTTTAACCTTGTAGACAATTTTATTAGAGCTTAAAATAACAACCCAGAGAAAGCAAGCTGTAGATCTTGGCAGCTTCCCTGAAGACGAGAATGAAGGTGGGAAAGAAAAGAAGTCATGCATTTGAGTTAAGTCAGCATGGCGATCAGTTGCATGGTGGATGTTTTGATTTGAGTGAGAATGTCCCCACAGGTTTTGTCATTTGACACTTGGTCTGAAGTGAGTGGTGCTGTCTGGATAAGGCAAGGAGGTGTGATTTTGCTGGAGGAGGTAGTCATTGCAATTTCAAAGCTTTGCACAATAGACGTTTTCCTGCTTGACATTTAAGATGTAGGCCACTGGCTTCTGTTGCCACGCCCGCCACTTCCCCAGGATCATGGATACTTACATAAGCCCATGAAACACTCCTCCTTCTATGAGATGCCATGGTCATGGTGTTTTATGAAAGCAACAGAAAAGTAACTAATACAGCAGACAATCAGCCACATTAGAGGAGGGGAGTGTGAGGGGAAGAGTAAGGAAGTCCAAAGCACCAGAAAAAGTAGGTGTTAGGCTCTAGTCAGCATCAGAAAGAAAGAACCAAAAAGGAAGAAAAAGAAAAAGTTATGCTATTCTAAGTAAGACCTCGGGAAGTTTGGTAAACTCAATGGACTATCCTAGAAGATTGCAGGACCTGCTGCTGCAGTATTCTGACCCATGAGTTTGGCTTCAGAAGTTTCTTCAGGAAACTTTAATTCTGCTGGTCATCTCCCTGAAAACCTATTCAAAAGAGTGGAGCCAAGATCCTGGCAAAACAGGAGCCTTTTTAGGAATTCTGATTTTTTTGTTTGTTCCTTTGTTTATTTCTATACATGGTTTCTTATAATTTCAGTGGTTATTTTATAACCTAAAGTGAGATGCTAAAGATGGCCTTGGTGTATAGGAAGGTTGACCTCAATGCAGATATGGCAAGGTCATGAAAGTAGTTTGGCAGGGACTAAACCACATGGTGGTTACTATGTTCTTCCTTCAAAGTCTCTGGGTAGGCTCACTAAGAAATGAGGGAGTGTCCAGAGAGACATGGAGAAGTTCACATTCATTCATTGCTCAGCCCTTGTGACTGTTTTACATTATTCTTGTCCCTGGCAAGAGGCAGCTCCAACCACACTGCCTCCTTAAATGTTCTTACACTGTGCTTCTTGTGAATTTGCTGGAGATACAAAATAATTTGATCATGAGACAAGAAAGCAATCTTGTGAAGAACAGACATTCCTATGAACTTTGGTGAGTAACAGTGAGAGCCTTAGACCCAGTGCTCCTACTTGAAAGAGAATATTCTCACCTCACCTGTATGCACATCACTTTTGACTTTTACATAGTCATTATTACTACAGAGCAGAGAACCCTATACAATCCCTGTCTTTTCCCTCTTTCTCCAGGAGTTCAGGAGGAAGTGCTGGACCTATGGTCTATTCTCTTGAGTATAAGCAGAAAACATCCAATGACTGTGATAGCTAAGAACTTCAGATGTTCCTTCTCACAATCATAGGCCTTGGTAGCAAGAGAGCAAAACAGTTTCTGTCCTGCTTCCTCATTTATCTGGGTCACTGTGTTCATCCATTGCTATAATTTGCACCACAGTAATAGTGAGCTTCATCTTCAGGCTGGATATCGTCAATGCTTAAGTAGCGATCAGGCCCAGAGCTGGAGCCAGAGAAGCGGTCAGGGATCCCATCCCCCTTGCTGTGGCTTCCATCACTCTGAAGATGCATCAGATGCTTAGGAGCCTTTTCTGGATGTTGCTGGAACCATTCAATGTAGTTGCTGATGTGCTGACTACTCAAGGTGCAGGTGAGTTTGGCTGAGGCTCCCAGGGAGGCAGAGGCTGAGGGTGACTGAGTCAGCACAGGCTGGGAGAAAGACCCTGAAAATAGAGAAACACATTATGTCCGTGCTGAGAGAAGAGAGGGAAATCTATCTGCTGTCAGATGGTTTCCCTGAACTGGGATCAGGGTGACCATGACTCCTGACCTGTACATTGAAGGAGGAAGAAGAGGAGAAGAGTCCAGGCCATGGTGAAGATACAACTGAGCTCTGCTGAGACAGACATGGTGCAGGTCTCTCTAGGCCTTTAAGAATTCCCAGAGAACTGACAGGGCCCTTCATGCAAATTTTTCTTAGTCAGACAAATCCCTTCTCAGGTGTCTGTGTCATCAAAAGCCTGGGTGTCACTTCCTGCCTGAGGCTGCCAAGGGACCACAGTGTCCCCACTGCTGGTCCTGTTGAGTCCTGAGCAGACACAGAGACAGATGTTTGTGTGGCCAGCTGAGAGTCTCCAGACTCTTCAGTGTCACCTACAGACCCACTGAGCAGGTTCAGGTCTGTCATGTCTGTGTCCACGTGACTTCTCACAAATCCGTGATCATCAAACACTTTCTGATCAAGGTCAGAAGGACTTGCCTTCTCTGGGCATAGTATGTAGACTTGAATTCATGAGGAGCTCCTTATCCAGGGCCTTCTCCCATATAGACTGAGGGCACAGATATACTCTCCATGTACCCTTCCTCAGATTGCACAAGAAGCCAACCCCCTGCATGGTTCCATTCACATATTGGTGAATATTGGTGTCTAGGAAGAATACTATTATATTGCACAACTCTCTTAATACATTAGAAATACAAAGTTTTACAAAATCACAAGGCACAACAAAACAAAAGTGCGTACACTAGAAAGGAAAAGAATGCTGGTCCTCAATTAAAGATTAGAGAGGGTCAGTGAAGAATGACTGTGTGTGATGGCTTCCAAGGAAACTAGTGGAAACCTGCCTAATACTTAGCTGACATAAAAATCATATCTAACTTGCATGGCTTTAGGGGCATGGATTTTCAGATATGAGGACACCCATAAATTTACACAAGAGTTAATGAATCAAGAAAGAAGTCATCGGTGAGATTGGGTGAGAGCAAGTGGGACAACAGGTGGGTTGCTGGAATCTGCTTCAGCTCACACATATTTAAAGAAGCTGCACTACATGGATTTTCCCTCTCCTCCAGAATCAGGGAATATGTACAAGAAGAGATAGAAACATTGTAAGAGCCAGAGGTCATAGATGACCCCAACAAAAGAGCATCTTCCAGACACAACAGGACTGATCCATATGGGAACTCAGAGAGACTATGACTGCATACACAAGACCAGCACAGGTTCAAACCTAATAAAAATCCCAGCTCTGAAAAAGGAAGTGGACAAAAATTCCACCGTTAGCCATGTAGTTATTGTAACAGGTAACGTCTGAAAAAGGGAAAGTCAGTTTTCTCCAATGCAGTGTCACTGGAGATATCAACCACACTCTAGGGCAGGCCTCATGTCCAGGAATAGTTGGCTAACACAGAACAGATTCCACGGTGTTTATTTGTGTACACATTTTGTATTATTTTATTTTGTCTGAATGCTTTTCTTTTTTCAGTTTCTCTATGTACGGCCAACGTGGCCTGCATAGAATGCTCTAGAACAGCTGGAGCTACACAGTGAAATGCTGTCTTGAAAAAAATTTTTTTCAGAAAGGGTTTCTCTGTGTAGCCATGGCTTTCCTGGAAACCAGGCTGGCCTCAAACTCACAGAGATCTTCCTGACTCTGCCTTCCGAGTGCTGGGATTAAGGGAATGTCCTGCCACTGTCAGGCACCAAATTATTTTTAATAAAGTAATAAAACACTTTAGACAAAATGTTGACACAGACAATGAGAGAGAGAGAGAGACAGAGACTGAGAGAGAGAGGAGGGAGGGGAGAGGGAGGGAAAAGAGTGAAAGAGATTCTAGGATTCATTTGTCCCTGGTAGAATCCATGCATGGAACTGTATATTGAGGCTTCAGCATACAGGGCACTTGCTTCCCAGCCTGACAATGTGAGTTTACTTGGAACATCCACGGTGGAAGGAAATGGTTCACTGATTTGTGCAATTGTCCTCTAATCTCAAAGACATACCCACACACACATTCACAAACACACACACATTTTCAAACACACATTCCCACAAGCACACATTAAATAATTAAATAAATATATTAAAAACTATTTTGATTCTTTGCGTCTGTCACTACTTTCTGTCCATCTGTGGTTTTTCCTTATTGTAGGCCCTTATTATTATTGTTGAAAATGTAGTGCCAGTGCGAAATCTTAGGAAGGAGAGCTTTATGAATGAAGGATTACAGGCCTACTTCTGACCCACAGATGCAGGATACATGAGTACCCTGAGTTCTAACAAGTATTGATATAGCACAGGCTACAAACTGTTGTGGTTTGAGTTGCACATTTTCCTGATTCCTGTATTTATTGTCTCCTACTGTCATGTACAACAAAAGAACTTCCTCACATCCACTCTGTGCGTTATGTGCCAGGATTAACATTCTTAAAGTTCCCACTACAAATAATACGTATGTCCCTTGGTTTCACGTAAATCACAAAATATTCAAAACTAAGTTTTTTATAACAAGGCAATATGTGCATGTTCACACGTAAACAGCTGGAAACCTTGAAGAAAAGGCTTCTCCTAGAAGCTGCACCTCTGTGTCTTTGCTTATAGGCATATTATATTGAAAGAGGAGAGATATATTCACATTTTGAGACTGACAACTGCTTAACATTAGAGTTTAGTTGCAGTCATAAATCTAGAAATATAAGCCAATGTGTCCATATCCTTGGGGATAAAATATGAGTCAAGGTGAATGAAATGTGTGCAAATTCAGAAATACTTTACAAATGATTGCTTGGTTTGTTGGTCCCCTGGGATGACAGTAATGACATACAACAAACTGTGGGGGCTAGCGCAAGGGAACATGTTATCTCATCCTGATTCATGGAGGACAGACTTGCAAAATGCACATACTGAGCTAAGCACCTTATGGCACCTCTTCCTTCCCTCCTCTGTCCCTCTTGTTTGTGAACAATCTTAGATGATTTTTGGTCAGCAGCATCAAAGCCCTACATGCACATCGGACTTCACATGGTAATCCATCACTGTTACCTCCCTGTGTTCTCAAAGCCATCTTATGAAGGCAGAGGGGACTCACTGTGCTTCAGCATGAGCTCGTCTGACTAAGGACATCTGCAGTAGTCCTTACAATCTTATAATGAGATTACATACAGTGGTACTCAGAATTATCACGTCAACAGATCTTCTTTAGGGGTAAATGTGTTAACCTAATGTCAGAGGAGAAATTATTTCCCATATATGTACATATATATATATATGTGTGTGTGTGTGTGTGTGTGTGTGTGTGTGTGTGTGTGTATAATTTCATAGCTTTTAAAAACGAAAATGAATTTTTGTTGTCTTCAAATGAAAGATAATATAACAATAGTTAGAAAATATGAGTGGACAGTTATTCCCTTTGATCTAAGTTGTTGAATGAACATCATGGAGAATGCTTCTCTCTGGAGACCTATTGACTCTATTCTTACAATCAAACACATCTAAGGGAGGAATAAAATATTTGACTTCTAGTTTTATTTTTTATTATCTATCATAATAGTTGACAAACACATTCATTTTTATGACTCTAACTATGACAAAAATGAAGGCAGATGCTTCCCTTCACCTTCTTGTCTGTAGAGAGTCGACATCAGGATGACAACAGTGCCTGGTCATGGGACCCACTCCACAGGACAGGGCTTACACCCAGGCTCAGACAAATGCATGTTTGTGTCTTGCTTCCCCATGTGTGTCTCACTGTGCTGAGCACCACTGCAGTGTTCACGCAGTAGCCTTCAGCACTGTCCTCAGATTGTAACTAGAGCCCAGGACAAGGTTATGTTTAAGGTGAAAAGTGACAGGAGACTGGGAATGCCTGTTGTTGTTGGGTGAATCAGAGCCTAGCTTGGCCAGGCAGCTTCTGGAACCAGTGTGGAAAGAGCAGATCAGTAACTGCTGGAGAGTGTCATTCCCCAGCATCACCTCAGCGTGGGGAGGAGAGCCTGAAAAGAAATAGCTGTTAGGAAAGAGTCAAGAAATGAGAGGGATCGTTCCAAAGGCAGGTCTCTTTAGTGTCCATGACACTGACAGAGATGGAGGAAAGAGGCAGGAACCCAGGCCAATTTAAATCTCCAGAGACCTGAGGACCAACAGATGCTGCTGGACTCTGGGGTTCTCGGGGTAATGGTGAAATCGTGATGTGGTGCAGTATGAGACTTTTAATATCACCATCATTCTACATTACATCTCTTCAGCCCGTTGGGACAACTCTCCTCCCAAGGGGCCTGGGGCAGCTTTGAGGAAACACCTGCTGAGCTGCATCCTCTAGTCCAGTGAGCTTTGCCCAGGAGATTACATGAGTGTCAGGAGTCAGCTGAGGCTTGTCAATTTCTCAGAAGCACACAGTGCCCCCTGCTGGACTAGGGATACTTTTTTGTGGTTTGTATTGAATATCTTCCATACGATTTTCATTTCTCAATTATAGATTCCTTACTTCCTCTTCACAATTGCTATTAACTTTAGTTTGTTAAACATTAAAATTGTGTCTTTTAAATTTTCATTGTATGTCTTCTGTGATGTTTTTAATTGTTAGTTATTTTATCTCTGATTCAAAAATATCTTCAATTGTTCTTCAATTAGATTGTGTGTGGATTGTATTTTGTTCATTCACACTGTAACTTTTCAAGTTTATAATAAAATTGTTTTGTTATTTGAGTGCTGTGACACAGAATTCTCTAGAGTTTATCTTCAGGCCTGAAATAATACTTGATTTTTGATTCATTCATTTTTTCCAGTACTGTTTGTTTTCCTTTCTTGTATATTATGAAGCACACATTGCTTTGGGAGTATTCATTTCAGATTTTATACTAATTGAAATTGTATTAAACATTAATAACCTATGGGAATGTTTTATCATAAAGTAAATATCTACACATGACTCACATTTAAATAATTAATGTCATTTATTGGCAGAGAATTCTTTCCTGAAAGTTTGACAGTGACATGTTTTGACATCCTCAGAGTCTGTGTTATTCTGATTGATAATATGCTATGCTTTATAGAATGACCAGAAGGAAAAATAAAGAAAGAATTGTTGTCCTGGAGATATGGACTTGTAATA